GGTTGAAAAAGCCTTGCATGCCAGTCCCTGCCCCTTCAAGTCAAATTCCACTTCCAAATACCACCCCATTTCTTTAGTTTTTAGAGTACAGAAGTCAATTTTAAGTCTTGTTGTAAAATCACTTCAATGATCTCATTGAGGAATCATTTGATCACACGGACTTCTACAAGATTTGCCGTTCTGCTGAAATATTTTATTGTATGTCTCTTTACACCTCCTCAATCCAATTCCTTCTTTATTCCTACTGCCAATTCTTCTACTCTGAACATTGAGCTGCATGATCAGAACCCATGCTAATTTAAGTAAAAAATTCTTGCAACATTTTGATTCTTTGGCTATTAACAATGTATTAACCATTACATAATCTAGAAGTGATGGCAACTTCTACCTAGAATGAATAAACAAGCAAACAAACCAGAGTTGAGCTACAATAAAGCATCATCATTATCACTAGAAACCTTTCTCTAGAAGAGAATGGATTTACTTCAGCAAACACAGAAGTAAAATCTGGGAGAAAGCTACAGTAAGAGCCATGCACTAAGCTCTCAGTTCTTTATATACTCACTGAAATGTCCCAACACTTTTCAGAGACATTAACAGTTCCCTCTCTAGTCTGGGGAAGGGCTTGGTGGTTAAGAGCACTGGCTGTTTTTCCAGAGGACGCAGGCTCAATTCCCAGCATCCACAAGGCAGTTCACAACCCTCAATAACAGCAGTTCCAGGGGATCCAACACCCTCTTCTGAACTCCAAGGGCAACAAGCACACCCATGGTGCATAGACATGAATGCAACATATTCTTAGTCGTACAAATATATAAATACACTTTTTAAAATTTTCACTTTCAACAGAGCATCTTCAGAAAAGTTAAGAGATAGTACAAATATGCAGTGTTAGAATCTGAATCTAGGTCTACCCTTGACCACATTACACTGTTACTCCATCTTACTGTAATCCAGGTCTAACCTTGACCACATTACACTGTTACTCCTTCTTACTGTAATCCAGGTCTAGCCTTGACCACATTACACTGTTACTCCTTCTTACTGTAATCTAGGTCTAGCCTTGACCACATTACACTGTTACTCCTTCTTACTGTAATCCAGGTCTAACCTTGACCACATTACACTGTTACTCCATCTCACTGTAATCCAGGTCTAGCCTTGACCACATTACACTGTTACTCCATCTTACTGTAATCCAGGTCTAGCCTTGACCACATTACACTGTTACTCCTTCTTACTGTAATCTTGGTCTAGCCTTGACCACATTACACTGTTACTCCATCTTACTGTAATCCAGGTCTAACCTTGACCACATTACACTGTTACTCCTTCTTACTGTAATCCAGGTCTAGCCCTGACCACATTACACTGTTACTCCTTCTTACTGTAATCTAGGTCTAGCCTTGACCACATTACACTGTTACTCCTTCTTACTGTAATGCACATATAAATCATGAAATTAAAAACAGTCCACATTTGATGTTTAACACAACTATTATAATTAATTGAAAATTAATTATAAATGTTCAAGTGTATAAAAAAAGAATCAGTAGCTCCATCATTTGATATTAATCAGTTAGGGGTACATAAGGAAAAAAAGGTCAAAGTGAAGACATTATGGAAACAAGATGGAAAAGGAAAAAAAAGAAAGAAAAGAAAAAGAAAATATCCTAGCCAGAACTCCCCAAATATGAGTAATGAATTAGACATTTAGATAGAAGAAACCCAACAAGTCAGAAGAAATACAGCTCTGAAAAACCTGTACATGAGCACATCAAAAGACATCGTCATTGGGGCTGGGGAGAAGGGAGGGGGCCCAGCTGGTGAAGTGCTTGCTTGCATAAGCATGGGGACCTGAGTTCAGATCCCCAGAACGCACGTAAAAAGCCTGGTGTACCAACATGCATCTATAACCCCAGACCTGTGGAGGCAGAGGCAGTAGAGCCTTGGAGCTCTCTGGTCATACAGCTTAGGTGAACCAGTGAGGAGGTCAAGATTCAGGGACCCTGTTTTTCAAAATAAGAAGGGGAGCAATTGAGGCAACTGAGGAAGACAATGTTGACCTCTAGCCTCCCTCATGCACAATTAACCACTCCCCCACTATTATTACTATAAAAAGGCAAAGAAAAATTTAAAGATAAAAGCTACTCGTTGCATAGGAGAACCTATATAATCATTGACAGATTTTGGGGGGCAGAAATCTTAAGAGAGTAAGATGAAATATACAAAGTGTTGAAAGAGGAGGAAGAAGAAAACTCCCTACCAACTACGAATATCACATATTCAGAAAACTAACCTTCAAAAACTAAGAAAGATTGCCCATAAAAATGTTGTAAAGTTCAATACTACTAAACTTGCCTTACAAGAAAAGTCAAAAGGCATTTAATATTAAAAAATGCAAATAGAAACATAAAAGCATATAAATATAAAGCTCACTTATAAAGGTACATATAAATACTAATACTGTATAATGGTGATACATGTATAAATCACTTCAAACTACAGCATATTTTAAAATTATGTTTTAAAAGCTTTAAAAATGTTAATGTAAAGAGCTATACATATTAAGGGATATGTGTAACATAAAAGACAGAAGAGAAGTAGTGCAAAAGCAATTAAAGCATTTCACTACAAAAAAATTACAAAACAGAATGAATGACGGGAAAACAAGTTTTCCATACAGAGAGAAGTAACTAGAAACAGAAAAAAGAAAAAGTTAAGTTTCTCCCACCAATAACAGACTTCAAATGAAAATGGAAGCAACCTAATCAATACACTGGGTGGCTAAATGAATAAAAAGCACCCAACTGCCTTCTATGTAAAAGAACCCACTCTAGACTTAAGGGGTACACAGACTGAAAAAGATAGGAGGGAGAAAGATATGCCAATGTCCTAGAGATTGGATATCTAACACTGTGTATACAGCTACGATACTGTACTGTGCATACATTTAAAAGATTAACAGCAAAGAACTCATGTTACTTTTTTTGGTTTTTTTTTGAGACAGGGTTTCTCTCATGTTACTTTTTAAAACCATAATATTTGAAGAGGGGGAGAAGGAGAAACAACACTTGTTCACACGGAACCCACACAACAGTAGAGGGGGAGTAGGAGGAACAACACTTGTTCACACGGAACCCACACAACAGTAGAGGGGGAGTAAGAGAAACAACACTTGTTCACACTGAACCCACACAACAGTAGAGGGGGAGGAGGAACAACACTTGTTCACACTGAACCCACACAACAGTCTACAAGCTGAACCACATTTCATTTGCAGGCATTTGGATCTTTATGGGATTATCTGCAAGGAACTGGACAGTCATAAAACTTTCCAGGATGGTTCTTAAATTCTATTTTTCCCTCCCACAAATCAGAATGGCAATTTCCTCCTATTATTTTTCAACTAGTTTCAAGGATGAGTTGAACAGCACAGAAAATCTCACCTACAAGTCTTCTTAGTCCCCTGAGAGTAAACCCAGCTAGAGCAGATAAACAGATGACTAGCTGCTCGCCTGCTTGCTTGCATGTTCCCCACCTATCTTAATTCTATCTAAATTTTCCTCCTACCTTTTGCTCTGTTTAAGACAGGGTCTCACTAAGCTGCCCAGGCTGTCCTCTGCTTAGTTCCAAATACATTCCCTGTTCCAGTCTACCAAGCAGCTCCAAACACAGGCGTGTGTCACAGTGCCCAGCTATTATCATGCTCTTTACACGTTTATGTGCAGTTCTTGATACACAGTATTCTTAAAAAAACACTAAAAACTTCCACTTTCTTTTATTATATCTGCTTACACAACACTAAATTGTTAAGACTGTGATGGAGGAAGGTCATTGGTTAATTATAATAAAGAAACTGCTTGGCCCTCATAAGTTAAAACATAGGTGGGAGGAGTAAACAGAACAGAATGCTGGGAGGAAGAGGAAGTGAGCTCAGAGGCCATGCTCCCCTCTCTCGGGCAGACGCAATGAAGCAAGCCGCCAGGTCAGACATGCTGAATCTTTCCCGGTAAGACTGATGCCACACAGATTACTAAAAATGGGTTAGGCAAAATATGAGAATTAGCCCGTAAGAGGCTAGAGCTAGTGGGCCAAGCAGTGTTTAAATGAATAGAGTTTGTGTGTTGTTATTTCTGGTGTAAAGCTAGCCGGGCGGGAGGAAAAGCAGGCCCGCAGCTCCTTCAACAAGACTGCTTTTTGTAATTGCATAAACTTCATTATTAAAACAAAAAAAATTTACAAATAAAAAAAAGCACACCAAAATTAACCATACACAAAATCTATACAACTCAATGGACTTCTATAGTGAGAACAGGCATTCAGAATAGGGGCTCTAGAGCTCCACATTAGTCACACTCCTACTATCAGATCCATATCAAATCTACTATCTACTCACCACCAAAACAACCATGACATTGTTCTGCCAAATCCACAGCAGAAGTAGAACTAGAGAAACAATTGGCTTTATATCCTTAGATATAAATACACTTCAATCAACTCTATGTCCACAATCTCAGAAAGAAAAAACCCACATGTTCTCTCTTACCAGGAACCTAGCCAATAACACATGTGTATGTAAACAAATGTACAAGAGTAATTGGTGGTTATCTGTGAGTCACAACACCCAAAGGCCATCAGAAAATGCAGATACTTGCATCATAATTCATAACAGTATCAAAATTACAGCTATGAAGTAGCAATAAAAATAATTTTATGGCTGAGGTCCTCACAAAATAAGGCATTGTATTAAAGGGTCAGTGTTAGGAAGGTTGAGAACCATTCGGGTAGAGTAACGTGAAGAAAACAGACAAAAGCTAAACTTAGGGATGGAAAATGACAAAGTGTAGATAATGCAAATTTATGAAAGAAGTTATAAAAGATATGAAAACTATTCCCTAAGCAGTACAATTAAAGTAATCAAATACTTAATATTTTTGATAATGGTATGGCTATATAAACTTTAAGAATATGGCTAAAATTCTGATTTCACTGCTTACTTTTAAATATGCAGCTGCTTCTTGGACAGAAAGCATCCTTTGACTGGAACTGCCACATTCATGATCTCCTGAAAAGATTAACATACTAATTTGGAATAAGTACAATATTGAAAAAAAGAGAATTTAAAATTTAAAATATTTTACAAATGATATAATTACATACACACACACAAACACACACATATATAAAATCAGTAAAGATTGATGAACGCTACTCATGTCTTCTAGAAACAGTTCCAGCCACTACTGTTAAATGAACTTTGGTCTACTAAGAATACCTTCCTCTCGTGTTCTGACCTGTAAGGCAATGCAGGCAACGGCATTACTCTGAAGGTTGGTTATTCTTAAAGGGAAACATCTGCTAACTTACACACCAATGACTCAAGGGAGTCTGAATTTACTACTGCACTAACCTTACTTCCGCACTAAGCCACATCTACTTTCAGAGCACAATCACGCTCACCGCTGGCAGGACTGCACACCTGAGTACAGATCAGCAGTGAGAGTAGGCCAGAATTTATACCTATGAACCTGTGACTTAGTTTTTTATAAAGGGTGTGTTATAAAAGTTAAGAGAAAATTACTCTCTTCTTTAATCTAACTGAAGAGAATCCAAAGTTTTTTTCCAGACTATACGTGGTTGGCTACTAGAGATAATTTTTTTCATAATAAACTTTAGTTCTAAGTTTTTGCTGCCCTATTATTTTCAAGTAGTCTAAAAATACCTTCTTCAACCTAAAAATATAATCTGGGTGTGATGGCATAGGCTTTTAATCCCAGCTCTCAGGAGGCAGGGGCAGGCAGAACTCTGAGTTCGAGGTTGGCCTGGTCTACAGAGTGAATTCAAGGGCAGCCAGGGCTACCCAGAGAAACCCTGTCTCAAAAAATACAAAACACAAAAACGAACAAAACAAAAATATAGTAACTATAATGAAAGTCTGTTCTTACAGTTTGCTCAAGGAGCCAGGCTGTAAAGGTGGCCGTTAGACAAGGGAAGGAGTAGTTGCTGGATGAACAGGTTTTCCAGCTCTACAATGCATCCTCAGAAACTCAGATTCCACAGACCCAGAAGTCAGCAGATACAGGCACGGGCCAAATGTGGCCTGCTGTTGCTATTTATAAGTGAAGTCTCACTGGGCTATGATCAAGCTAATTGATCAATATACTATTTATGGTTACTTGCATGTAATAGCAAAAATAAAATAGTTGTGACAGAGGCACTTTTTTTTGTTGTTGTTTGTTTTTTTCGAGACAGGGTTTCTCTGTGGCTTTGGAGCCTGTCCTGGAACTAGCTCTGTAGACCAGGCTGGTCTCGAACTCACAGAGATCCACCTGCCTCTGCCTTCCGAGTGCTGGGATTAAAGGCATGCACCACCATTGCCCGGCTTATGAGGCACTTTATAGGAAAAAACTTGCCAATGCCCACTCCGAGGAAGGAAATCTACATCGTTAAAAAGTAATCTCTGTGTGCTGATCTATAGTAAGCCGCAGACTATACGACATAGCACTGCTATTGAGAGCCAAACAGGCTTAAGTTAGCAACATCAGGATTTCTTAGCCATGGAAATATCATCAACCTACTTCCAGGTGCCAAAGCAGACCAAATAAATGACTCATTTTTTTTTTTTTGGATTTTCGAGACTGGGTTTCTCCGTAGCTTTTTGGTTCCTGTCCTGGAACTAGCTCTTGTAGACCAGGCTGGCCTCGAACTCACAGAGATCCGCCTGCCTCTGCCTCCCGAGTGCTGGGATTAAAGGGGTGGGCCACCACCGACCCAGACCAAATAAATGAAAGGCAACCCAATCGGTACAAAGAAAGCATTTAATGATGTGCACAGAATTCTAAACCTAAAACAACGAGCAAAACTATGGACCCAAAGAGCAAAATAGATAAGACATGGGAAACAAACGTCAGAATCTTAATTACATTTAAGAGAAGTCCCCAATCTGTCCCCTAGACTTCTGCCAAAGACCTCCCTGGCATGCAGCAGTCCACTCTGTTTTTATGTTTCCTGTCCAAAGACACTTCTTTAGATTACAGATAAAATGTTAATAATGTCCATACGGAACTGGATAAGCAGATATGCTACAGTAGCATGCAGATACTGCTTACAAATATTAAACACAGTAAGAACCCACTTAATAATTTCATTCAATTATTCAGACTGCAGATGTGTTGATACGTGAGTACTCTAGTAGACCTAATAAGAGCAGAATATGAGAATTCAATGAAAAATAGAATATGATATTTACTTTAACTATAGGAATAACAACTGCATTAAACCAAAAGAAAATCTACACCTCTGTATCTAATCCGAGATTCTAGTTAATTACTGCCTGTCCAATTCAACTGCTATCTACGACTTCAGAATTTGCTACTGTTTATACAATATACATATATCAAACATATATGGCAAGCAGAAAAATAGCCTTGATTACATCTGTACAAATTTCTTTTAAAACTCTCTACAGAAAACTATTGAATAAATATGGCTGTACTAAGGCAGACTACTTCTACTTTCACATAGTGTACACACACCAACAAATTTAGAAATGGTTTGGGAGCCAATGAAAGTTAAAAAAATACCTGCGAGCTGGGCCAGTCGGTCATGAAGTCTGTACAATGTGCTCATCAGAAGATTTCTTTCACTCTCCTAAAATGAAAAATGTCATTATGAAAAACCAAGTCTAAGAAAAAATGGTTAAAGCTATATAATCTGAAAGACAAACCTATATGGGAACAATAGCTACTATATTTTAAAGAATCTTATCATTATCACCGTTAATTATTTTACTTTCTTGAGGACTATTAAGTTGGTACAGGGGGCTGGAGAGGTGGCTCAGCGATTATGAGGTTTTCTTCCAAAGAGCTAGAGGTCAATCCCAGCACCCACATCAGGCAGCTTACAACCTTCTGTAACTCCAGTTCCAGAGGAACTGAGGCCTCAAGCCTCAGCAGGCAGCAGCACCTAAGTGCACATACCCACATAAACATACATATGTACACATAATTAAAAATAATAATTTTAGAAAAAAAGAAACTACAAAATAGGATTTCACACACAATAACCTCCCAGCCATCAAAGCAACCCTTCCAACTTCACAGTGTATATAGTGTGTGCATATAATGTGTGTTCATAAATATATAGTTCTTGTCTTCCGTGCAGGTTACATTCCGTGTTTGACTGACTGACTTAATTTGTGCACACACACGTGGGTTGCACACACTGGGGAATACCCCATATACATCAGAGAACAATGTACAGGAATTGTTTCTCTCCTTCCACTGTGTATGTTCAAACTCAGGTTGTCACGCTTGCTGACAAGCGCTGTTAGCTGCTGAGCCATTCTCCACGGCTTGTTTTAATCTGACTCACTGACATAAAACTAAAGGAATGTGTATTGTTCTTTTGACATACATCCTGTCCTAGACTTTCAAGATGACCCCATATACAGTTACCAACCCTTAACATGAAATATTCAATGAAGTTAAACAGTGAAGTACTATTTTTTCAAAGCAAAGTGAGACACACGAACAAGGTATCTCCTATTCTCAAGACCAGCACCACCACCATGCAGAGTCACTACAGCTGCCAAGTTCAATGCAAACAGAGAGGAGTGGGTAAACAAAAGCCCATCTTTGTAGCAGAGCAATAGAGCTGACCAGCATTCCAAGAAGAGGGAACAGCACAAGAGGTACAGAACCATGAAAGCACTGGTTACATTTCTTACACAAACAGGAGCAAACTGAAGGAAAAGCAGCCTAGATATGAAGAAAAGTAGTTCGTCTTTAGTGTGAAAATTGAGGAGAAAAGTAGAGCAGACTTGTGCGTGACAGGAATGCTGCTGAGCAGAAGCAGAAAGGACCTGGAGAAAACGCAGCATGGTCTATGGGATCTATCAAGTAGTCTGAACAATGACACACAAAGAACAACTGCAGCTGAGATCAGTATCAGGGATGAGGAGGAAGGGAAGAGAGTCTAACACTGACACAGGTCATAGTTAGCAGGGATATCTGCATGACTGACAGAACAGGGCTGCTGGATGAACATGCCCACGAGCCAGTCCAGGCGCGGTGAGAAGGTGACACACACATGTCAAAAGACGAGAAACTGCATCTCTCCTTCTGTCCCACAGGCATGGCCAGGAAACCAAGAAAACAAGTTTACACACTATGAGAACATAATTTTGTCTGTGCACACAGGAAGAAGCTAATTCATAGAAAGTTCCAAATTCTCACCCCGTTTCCTTAGACTATGGCATGAGGACAGACAAAGTAGTCAACTCTAGAGGTGACTGCTTGCTCCTCAGCTTTTGGCCACATCCCCCTTTTATTGCCCTCATCTTTATGTCATTATGAATCAAGGCAATTCCTATCTCCACACAAAATTAAAAAGTCAAAGTGCAGAGAACACTGGTTTATACCTGTAATCCCAGCATAAGGAGACTGAGACAGGAAAATAACGGTAACTTATAGAACTTCTATAAGACTTTATCTCAAAAACAAAAACAGAAAAAAAGAAACACAATAATTTAAACTCAAAAAAATCAAACACGAAGAAGTAAAAGCTAGGGCTGAAACCCAACAAGATTCTTACACTGAATCAGTGATAATATAAGATACTAAAGAAAATAGTTTTGTATTCCTAAGGCTCCTGGAATCCACTGGACTAAGCCTCAATTATAACACTACCACATTTTAAAGACTCAGTTGTCAAATTTATTGCAAGCAAATGTCTTCACTACAGCATATACTGAACAAAATTACCCCAAAGCTCCACTCCTAGCAATCTGAAATACTATTCTACAGGTCTGGCTGTACTTTATTACATGCCCTAACTAAAACAAATACTTTCTGATACAGATCTATGTAATGGTCAGTTCCTATAATGAAAAATCAGCAGAGAACTATGTACTATAATATAAACATCAGTCTTAAATATCTAAATACCGAAGTGTCTATGATATGAAAAGCAAAAATACTTTGATGTAATAAAACTTTGGTTACTGCTATTACATCACCCTTTGAAGAAGAGTCTTTAAAAGGCCTTGCCACTTCCCTTTCCTGATGGGTCAGCGTACCAACAGAACAAAGATCCAAAAAGAGACAAAATCAGAACAAAAGAAAAAACTTGCTAAGATATCAGACAACTGAGAACAACAAGGGATACTTGTAAGTATAAGCATCAGAACAGGGATGGTATGGCACTCCCGTCTGATGGGGTAGTTGTCTCTATAGTGAAGTAATAGACACTTCAGTTGTCAGGAGGAGCTAGGGCAGACTTAGTTATATCAGAGGCAGGAATACCCAGAATGAGAAAACATAATGCTTCAAACTAAAAGGGCCTTAAAGTTACTTTCTTAGGAAATAAATAGTCACTTTAATCTTTTCATCACTTAAAGCATGACATAAATTATAAGCATTATGATTTTTTACTTACTTGTATTTTTCCAAATGTTTCATCAAAGGGGTTTTTTACTATCAAGGAAAAGAAAGAAAAAAGAGAACTATTAGCATCACTCAAGAATTTAAATCCTCCTCAACAAGTATCCTGAGAAGCCAGAATATACTGTTAAACCAATGAACATATGCAAACAAGATGTAAACAAACCGGATGTAAAAGGCTGGGAAAGTAACAAGACCAACCGTGCTAGCCATTCTCACTTCAACTCTTCACTGTTCTGCATCACAGCTGAAGGCCAGAGTTCTGGTGCGGTGAATCAGAGACTCAAATCTCCACACCAGAATTTAGTAATACCTCCTCAACTTAATGACTACTCACTCCATAACCTTCCCGTTAAAGAGGGGTGACAATGGCACACACCTTACACAGCTGCGGCAAGGACTAAACGGGATGTCCCTGTAAAATGCCTGCCACAGTCTCAACTGTCACTCCTAGCTTCTCCACTTTATTATTACCAACTGTATCATGTGTCTACCTTAACTTGTTGCTTCAAAACGAAGTAATTCTTTTAGGATTTAGACATCTAATACAAACAAAAACCTGATTTTTTGCTAACATCTAGAAAAATTGGCAAGAAGAACAAAGCAGTTGCCAATTAGATGTCAGTATTTGACAATCAAGTATTATAAAGGGAATTTATAGTATTTTCCATGTAACCTGCCTCTACCTAAAATCTCCAAATACAATGCCAGATTACAATGCTAAATATAGAATACCTCTCACAATTACCCAGAACTTCCTCCTATTATCACCTATTTTACTATATACAAACATATTTAAAGTTCACAGACACTTGAAGACTTTTTCACATTTTATTCAGATTATATACTATATAATCCAGGCCACAGCTAAGTCAAACTGATTTAACATAGTTCACCCTGACCAGATTTCCTTTCTGAGGTGCTTTTCTATTTTTATCTGGGAAAACAGGAAGTTCCATAGGAACCAGAACTGCCTGATTCTAAGAAAGTTCATGTCCAAGACCATCCTGATGAGTTACAATGAAAAAGCTGGGGGGGGGGGGGGGGCAGGGGGCAGTACATGCTGTTATCAAATTTTCCAAATGGTCTTTTAGACAACCTTCCTCTATACAACAAAAAAGGTATTGACACTGGGAAAGAAGTATTTTTGAAAGATAGAAAATTTAGAAGTTCTCAAAACAGAGTAGGAAAAATAAGTAAAATCTTAAATATTAAATTAAAAAAATCAAAACACATAGATTACAAAACTACTTTTTAGTAGCATTAATTTTTAGTGTTAAATCTGAATACTAAGATAAAGCTATATAAAGTTCAATATACTACCAAAATTGTTTTATCAATCTTAAAATAAATTAGTCAAGTAATACTAAAAAATAAGTAATTTTATGAAGAAAAAGCAAGTCTTGAAACATAAAAAAACATGTAGTACTGAAAAGATGAGTTTTAAAGTCTTTGAAGAAAGTCCTGATATAGCAATTTTTCCACTTGATATGAAAATGGTTTTGCTCCCATCAAATGGGAAACCAGCTCAAATGTGTCTATGACGGCAGAACTGCATGTACATCAGGAGTGGTTTGCCACGAGACTGCTCTTCCCTGAGCCTCTCCCACCTGTATGAATGGAGCCAAGCACAGGTAGTACTGCTGGAAAGGCTTCCTGCTGTCTAGGTTCAATCCACACTTACTCCATGCTACTCCTTGTTCTGAAAGTGCTGGCTGGAGGAGGTATCAGAAGGACCAGGAAGGCAGGAGGACGGAGTAACAGAGAAGACAGGAGAAAAACTGTCGTTGAATACTGCTGTCTTAATGTCCTAGATTTGTGCTTCAAGACTAAAACTGAGAACTGGTACATCTAAAAAGACAGGGGAAATTCTTTCTGACCTAGAGTCAAAGGTCAAAAAAGTTTTTATGCCAATATATTAAGAATAAAATATAGCCTTATAGTTAAGTTTTAAAAGGAAATTCTATTCAAGCACAGCAATTCTGTAAGTTAAAAAATATATGAAGTTCTCAAGTTTATGAAAGAAGTATGTTCACACATCTTTCTTCCCTCAAATAAAAAAATATATATTATTTATAAAACGGCAATACACCTCATTGGAACTGTCTGGTCTTTAAGGAGAAAAAGAATTATCCTTTTTAAAAATCCACACATATTCTTACCACTCGTGACCTATCTAACAATATGAAGAAACCTGGAAACTGTATTTCAAAAGTGTCTGGTAGCAGAACTCTATTACTGTATTAGCTGGTCTCTTCTCTAGGAGAACCGATGGAATTAAAGGTCTCAGTTGTACCCCAGAACAGTGACAGTGCCAAGCACTCCCAGATTCACACCTCTGTCCCAAGGACACAGTCAGTCATGAAGCCATTCTCCAAACTGAACCAAACCAACTAATAGCCTTTCAAAAGGACTCCACATGGGCCACGAAGTACCAGTAAAGAGATCAGTGCACCGAGTATTACATGCTAGACAATTAATTATGGCCACTGAATAAATCAAATATGTGTCCTAGTGTAGTTTCTATAGCTGTGATAAACCACTGACCAAAAGCAACTCAAGGAGAGGGCTTGTTTGGCTTACAGGTTACAGACCATCATTTAGGAAGTCAGAGGTAAGAATTCAACACAGGAATCTGGAGGCAAAACCTGAGCAGAGATCATGAAGGAATGCTGCTTACTGGCTTACTCAAGCTTCCTTTCTTATACATAGCCCAGGCCCACCTACCCAAGGATGGCACCGCTCCAGTGGGCAATCAAGAACTGACCCCTCATAGAAGAGAAAGTGGGAAGTATACCTGAACACATTGGCACAGGAGACCACTTCCTAAATATAACCCCAGCAGCAGACACTGAGAGAAACAATTAATAAATGGGACCTCCTGAAACTGAAAAGCTTCTGTAAAGCAAAGGACACGGTCAACAAGACAAAACAACAGCCTACAGAATGGGAAAAGATCTTCACTAATCCCACATCAGACAGAGGTCTGATCTCCAAAATATACAAAGAACTCAAGAAATTGGTCATGAAAAGAACAAATAATCCAATAAAAAAAAAATGGAGTACAGACCTAAACAAAGAACTCTCAAAAGAGGAATCTAAAATGGCTGGAAGACACTTAAGGAAATGCTCAACATCCTCAGTCAGAGAAATGCAAATCAAAACAACTCTGAGATTCCATTTTACACCTGTAAGAATGGCCAAGATCAAAAACACTGATGACAATTTATGCTGGAGAGGTTGTGGGGTAAAGGGAACACTCCTGTATTGCTGGTGGGAATGCAAGCTGGTACAACCCCTTTGGATATCAGTGTAGTGATTTCTCAGAAAATAAGCAAACAACCTTCCTCAAGACCCAGTAATACCAAAGGATGATCAATCGTGCCAGAATGGCATGTGCTCAACTATGTTCACACAGCACTGTTTGTCATAACCAAAACCTGGAAACAATCTAAATGCCTCTTGACCTAAGAATAGATAAGGAAAATGTGGTACACAATGGAGTACTACACAGCAGAAAATAATGGCACCTTGAATTTTGCAGGCAAATGGATGGAGCTATCATTTCGAGGTAAGGTAACCCAGACCCAGAAAGACAATTATCACATGTACTCATTCATAAGCGGTTTTTAAACATAAAGCAAAGAAACCAGCCTACAAATCACAATCCCAGAGAACCTAGACAACAATGAGGACCCTAAGGGAGACATATAGATCTAATCTACATGGGAAGTAGAAAAAGACAAGATCTGAGTAAATTGGGGGCATGGGAACCATGGGAGAGGATTGAAGGGCAGGGAGGGGAGCAGAGAAAAATGTAGAGCTCAATAAAAACAATAAAATTTAAAAAAAAAGAAATAAACGGACCCCAAAGACATGCCCACAAAACAATCTGATAGAGGCAATCCCTTAATTGAGACTCCCTCTTCCCAGGTATGTCTAGATTTGTGTCAAGTTGACAGGTGGAATGAACTATGATCCCTGCCCTTGTGGTACTTATGTTCTACAGAGATTCAAAAGGACAATAAACAATGAATAAAATGAAATAAATGAAATGCTAAAAATGCATGCAAGTCAGATAGGTCTAAGTACTTTGGATGGAAAGAAGCTATTTACTAAGATAATCAGAGAACAGCACCCCAAGATTGCATTTCAATAGACACCTGAGGGAACACACCAGGGGAATATCTGAAATATGAATATGAAGGTCAGGCACAGAAAGAACAGCCACGCACATAGAGGCTAGAAGGGAGTAAGTAAGAGGTCTGGTCTGTAACTCCTGGGATGGAAATGAGCCAGAACATTCTATAGTGGGATGACAGCAGGCAGTAAGAAACCTAAGTCAGATTATAAGACAATCTAAGGGGTCAGCAAGTAGGATTGTTAACATTTTTGTATTTTACTTGAAGACAGAAACTTCAGAAAACTCGAAGCATTTCTTATCTAGTTCACATAATAAAGCAGGTATAATATGGAACAAGTTCTTGTGGGTAATTTTAAGAGTCCTAAGTGCTTACTGAATAAATATCTACTTACAAGACCAGGGAAATGGGCAACTGGTGCTTTGCTCCAGCTTTCTCAATCCAACACCATTAGCTTCAGCGTACATGACATTTTTCTAGTCTATGCATTTGGAATTAAAGTAAATTATAAAACACAAAAAGCATTTTTTTCTTGTCTCGAAAAAAAATCAAAAACCAACCAAACAACAACAAAAGCCCACAAAGAGCATTTTTCTGTAGCACTTTCAGATTTAGAGGTATTAACTTTAATCTCCTTGTGATACAACACATTAAAAACAAGAGAACTGTGGCTGGGAGACACTGTTGGTGCTTAGGTGATGAAATTATCTCACACCACGTTCTCTAACTGCAATGAAGGGAGATGCGTGCTCTCAGGAGTGTCCCCTGACGACCGCGGGAAGAGTTCATCACAGCCCTCTCTGACGAAAGCACCACATTCACAGGATTGCTTTGGCATTTACCACGTGACATCAGATTTTCAAAGCTGTGACCTCTGGAGTCAGTATTGTG